AGGAGGAAGCGAAGCAAGCAGCTATCGATGCCGTCGCGCTGGAGGAGGCCGATCTGGCCGTCTTGCAGGCCAAAAAGGACTCCGGCAAGAAACTCACCAAAAAGGACAAGGAAAAGTATGACAAGCTCTACGCCAGCTGCCAGGCGCGTGCGGACGAAAAGGCTGCCCAGGAGGCTGCCGAACAGGCCGAGCGAGACGAGGAAGAAAGGCTGGCACGCGAGGCTGAGGAGCTCGCCCGCCAGCAGGAAATCGAAAAGGAGGAGGCCGAGCTCCAAGAGCTGCAGAAGAAGAAAGATTCCGGGAGGAAGCTGCTCAAGAAGGACAAGGAGAAATACGACCTGCTGCGGGCGAACAAGAAAGCTCGAGACAAGGCTGCCGAAGTGGCCAGCGACCCCAAGGACGAAGCTGCGCCGGCGGACGGCGACAAGGCTGACGATGACTTCGACAAGGACCTAGCCAAGCTGGACGCGAATCAGCTCGACGAACTGGACCAGTTCCTGTCCTCCCCCACAAAGCCGACGGCAAGGGCGGCGGAGGTGGATCCGTTCGACTTCTGGGGTGCATCCAAGAAGTCGCCTAAGCCCAAAATGGGCAAGAGTCCTGGGGCTGAACCTGTAAGTGCATGTCTATTGCAACCCCCCCTTGCGCCCCTTGCGCCCCTCGCCCCCTGCCACCCACCCCAGCACTCCCAATTTCCACAACACCAACGCCCATTGTTGGCGTCCTGGTGTTCATCTCAGTTTTCTCATGTTCAAATCTGTCGGCCCCCAGCCGAGATTGCACATGCTGAGTCATACAAGCTTCTCGAAGCTACCACGAGCCGTAGCGCCACGGTCGAGAACTCGGCGGCCAAGGATGTGGTAGCTGGTGCCTGGTCCGCCTGGCAGGACACGTACCCATCGTCGCGACCCAGGCCAGAGACACAATTTGGCGGCGAGGTCGATCACCATGACTTGGACACCGCTACCAGCGCGCCGGCCTCTACTCCATCACCAGCACTCATGAAGGGTCGAAAGTCCGTGGGTGGCAAGATTGCTGACAGATTAAAGGCATTTGAGGCTACCATCCCGCCGCCACCTCCTGCTCCAGTTTCTGACGCTATCCCGCCGCCACCTCCGCCCCCACCAGCGGAACCAGTGGCCGAGGACGGCAAAAAGAAGAAAAAGTCCAAGAGCAGGGCTGCTGAGATTCCTGGAAGCTTCCCGGTCGAGGAAGATGAGCAGCTCCCAGACGACATAGTGGAGGTCATCGAAATGTCTCCTAAGATTAAGAAGAGCAAGAAGTCAAAGTCCAAGACTGAGGACGCGGCCTCCGTCCCGCCTCCGCCCCCGCCTCCGCCTGCCGTGCCGGACGCACCTCTCTCACCACCACCCGAGGTCGTGGTCGAGCCCAAGAAGGACGGCAAGAAGGAGCGGGCCAAGATCAACCGTGATGGCGGCTCGAGTTGGGGCATGTGGTCCGCGTCAACACCAAGCGGCAAGGAAAAGAAGTCTTCCAAGCCCAAGGCTTCCGAGGAGCCCAGAAGGGAGAAGAAGTCGCGCTCACCCGAGAAGGAGGAGAAGCTGTCGGCCCCGGGCTCGTCGTCCGACAAGGCAGAGCGCAGCGAGCGTGTCAGGGATATGGCCAAGGAGACTCCAGTCCGGCCCAAGCTCATGAGCGTGTTCAACAGCACGCCCCCGATCTCTCGGTCCATGTCAACACGCGAAAAACGCCCCAAGGAGGGCAAGTCATCACGTCGCAGCTCATTCGACGTGCCGAGTGGTATCGTCTCGCCGCCACCTGAGGATGAGGTGCCCACGATGAGCTCCAAGGCGGCCAGGATTCTCGGCGTGGGCATCGGCGATCCCCTGGGAAGGTCCAGCAGTAAGCGCAAGAAGACCTCGAGGACAGTTGAAGAGGATGACATCGTCATGGTCGGTGCCAACGATGCAATGGAGTCGAGTCCCGACAAGTCCTCGCGCCGGAGGCACAAGGTAAGCCGCCAACTGCCCGCATACATCTGTTGCGCTCTAACATACTGACAAGACATTGAAACAGCAATACCCACGTGAAGATGACGACATTGTCATGGTTGACGCAGCAGACGCAACTCCACCGCCTGGCCTCCGGCGGTCAAATACCAGCGGGTCTGCTAAGAAGGGCTTTGGGGCCTTGTTTGGCGGGATACTACCAACCCCGAAGACTGACCCAAAACCTGAGCTGCGCCGACGGAACACGCATCACACGACGGACGCTGAGGACGGGGGCGCCGCGACGGATGTCGACGCTGAGGCGCGAAAGGCTGCTCGTCGCTTACGCAGAGCCGAAAGAGAAGCCGCCGACAAGGAGGCAGAGGATTCTCGCCGTACAAAGGATGAGGCGCGCCGTGAGAAGCGTCGAAGGCAGGAGGAAGAAGAGCGGGAGGCGCGCCGTGCTGAGCGACGCGTAGCCAAGTCTCGTCAAGAGGAGGAGCGCAGAGCCGCCGAGGAAAAGGAGGCAGCTCGTGAGGAGCGCAGGAGGCAGAAGCGGCTCGAGCGTCAGCAGGAGCGGGAAAGTGCTGCGGCCAATGGCGAGACCGCTGTTGAAGATGACGAAGCCAGGCGGGCTGCACGGCGTGAAAGACGCAAGGCTCGTGCCGCCGAGAGCGACCGTGAGCACGAGCAGCGGCACGCCGATGACGACGAAGAGCGCCGTCGCCGGCGAGCTGAGCGACGCGCTGCTCGTGACACGGCTGAGGGCAAAACATCGTCGCGTCGCCGCCCCGAGCGCGCGGATGATGACCTCGGCCGCCCGTCCAAGATATCACGTCGACACACCGATGGCTTGGACAAGCTGTTCCGGAAGCCTGAGCCGAATCCTAACCCGTGGCCACACTCGGGGACGTCGAGCTGGGTCAAGGACCACAGTGATGCGGGCCCGCCACCCGAAGATGCGGAGGTTCTCAATGAAGCCATGGAGGACATGGATGACGACGCCGCCCGCCACGAGCGAAGACGGCGGAGAAAGTACGGCGATGGGGTGGTCGACATAGAAGTGGGCGACGAGGACGGCGAGCGCAGGCGCAGGAAGAGGAGGGAGGAGAGAGCTGGAGGGAGTGATGGTAGCGGAGAAAGGAAGAGACACAGCTACGTCGGAGACGCATATGCCACTGCGACGCCTAGGAGCAGCGCAAGCAGCTGGTGGAAGAAGCTGAAGGGTAACTGAGGTGACGAGCTTATGATGGGATTGCAATTAGAACATGACTTGATGGACACGAAAGGGACGGAATGGATATGATGGACAATGACAATTTGTGATGGGACGTGACCGAGGATGGTTCGTCGGCATGCATGGCTTGGGCTTGTATTGAAACGGGCACACTGAACCGACCAAGCGAGCGAGCACATTGGATTCTGGTACCACTTTGTCTTCGAATACCCCTACCTTTTTGAAGTATTTGGATAGTTTGTCTGGAATAAGATCTGAGACTAGACTCTTGGTAATGTTGCTTGGTCCCGGTTCCTTGCACAGCCCGTCGAGAAGGTGTGTCCTGTGATTCTGCATCTGAGATGTCCCTGTGCTCAAATGGCAACCAGAGGGTGGGTGACGCCAGACTTGGACGGTATGGCATAGACCCCAAAGCTCTGCCTCCTCAGCGGTCGCCTTCTTCAACGGGAGCTCGGGTGATTGTAGTACTCGGGGTAGCACCCTGAGCAGCCAAGCAACCATTTGCCAATCAGGACTCCACCAATGTAGTTAAGCAGCACGCCCAAGACTATGGATACGCGCTCGGGGCCGGGCAGGGCCCTTACCACGCCGCCACGGTGCATGAACAACAAGGTCTGGAAGGGACTCGGCTTCACACCAAATCTTTTGCAGTCGTCTCGGTAGCCCCAGACGTTACCTGGCCGAAAACACACGTACAAAGCGCCAGTCAGCCTCGGCCAGCCCTAGCCCTGCATTTGCCGCTCCCATACTCTGGGAGAACAAGCAAAAAAAGAGAAAAGAGGAAAGAAAGCAGAAAGCAGAAGGCAGCACGCTACTCACGGAAATAAGCCTCGTCCGTGTCCCGGGACGCCGGGTCCAGCACGAACTCCAGGACCAGCCCGTCCTGCCCGCTCGCGTTGCAGAAGGTGTGGGCCGTCCGGCGGGGGATGACAACCACCTCGCCCGCCGAGGCGAGCGTCTCCGTGCTGCGGCCGCGGCCGCCATTGCCGAGGGTGAAGCGCGCCGTTCCGCTCAGGACGTGAAAGGTCTCGTCCTGCCACAGGTGGCGGTGCAAGGGGGGCGCGAGCGACGAGGTCGCGCCGCCGTGGGGTAGCCCCAGCAGCGCGGCCTCGCGGTCTGAGACTGCCTGTGGGAGGCGGTTGAGGACGAGGTAGCGGTGTGTTGGGGGCCTAAACTCGGCTGTGGAGCGGCCGCTGTCGAGTGCTATGCTGTCCAGGTGCGAAATGGGAGTCCTTGGGACGCGGCGTGCTAGGAAGGACAGCATTATGCCGTGGGTAGAGCGGGTTGTTTTTGGGATGTGTCACATCACGGCTGGATAGCTTTCATGTGTGTCTGGTTTCGTGGTTGGAAAAGAAGCAATCATGTATTGAAATGGCGAGGGGGGACTGTGCGTGGTCAAGATTTCTAATCCAAGCCAATCTCTACTCCCTCCCCCACTTGTTCAGTCTGACATTTTGATATTGATTGCGGTAACAAACGCCAGTTGTTGGACCCAAGGTTTCAAAACACATAGGTGCTGTAGCGATGATAGATAGATGCCTGGGTCCATCATTTCCCCCCGGGTGGGCTGTTGCGACAGGTCGTTTTGGAAATACGAGACATCATTCCCTGTGCTCGTCTGGACGGGAAGGGGACCTGTGTGCCAAACGGACTCCCCTCCCAACCAGGGTCCCTTTGTTGTCGTCTGCTTCGGCACGGGTGCAGTTTCAACTACAGCAAGTATCCCGCCGAGGAAAAGCAGCTACTGCAGCCCGCCGCAGACCGACCCAGACTGGACCATATCAGACCCTGGAAACACCTGCAATCCCAAATTGGTGACGGTAGAGTAGTGGTACAACTCGCCTCTCTCCCACTTGGGAATTCCATTTCCAGACGCAAAAGGGCCAGGAGGAGACCCGGGTTCAAACCCCGGCCGTCGCAATCTCTTTTTTGCACGAGAGTAAAAGAAAGCGCAAGACCAGGAGGCAGACGCAGAAAAGCTTTGGTCCAAAGTGACATTCATTGTTGTCTTTCTGAGGCTGGCTGGGAGAGGAGTCAAAGTACGAGAGGAGAGACACGTCTAACCCTGGCATGATATCAAGCTCCCGACGGCCATCAACAGGAGCTTCCCTTTTTGGTGTACCTTTTGTTTTCAAGCACATACACATCCTCTTAAGGGATACACAACTCTGGTCAACGTCCCCCGAACTTGGCACGGCTCGTCAACTGGCACATAATCTGCGACCCATCTCAGAACTCAACGACATTAACAACCGTCTCGCTGACGTAGCCCACGGCACCGTCGCCCCAGATGCCGACCACGGCCATGAGGAAACCCAGGCCTGCCGTCGCAGTGGAGACAACCTGCTTCTTCAGGAAGGCCTCGACCTCGCCGCGGACCTCCTCGCCGTTGACGTTGTTGTCGGCTGCCGCGGCGTCGTCCTCGATGCTCCTGTCGCTGGCCGAGTCGCTGTGGGCGTCGGAGCCGCCGATGACGTCGTAGCTCGCCTCCATGCGCCGGGTGGCCGAGCGGTCCTTGCGGGCGCCAGCAGGTGGCGACTGCCGTTGCGCGGGCGTGTGGGGGTGGGCAAACAGGTACGGGGCGACGAAGTCGGACACGCTGAGGCGGGAGACGGCGACGAGCGCCGATGTGTAAAGCAGGTAGGGGTGGCGGGCGGATCGGGGGGACAGGGTGAAGGCGAGGAAGAATGCGGTGCTGGAGATGCCGGCGAGGGTGCGCAGGTGCGTCCTCGCTGTCGTGGCGAGGGACCGGAATGCCTTGGCGGCGGTGCTAGCGGAGGGCAGGGCGAGGAGTGTCGGGACGGTCAGGGTGGACAGGGTGTAGGACAGGCCCTGGATGGAGGCATGGTCAGCATGGTCAACATGAGCACCTCCTGTGGGGTCCCAAGTGCGGGGGATGTCAAGGTGCCCGACGACCCTGATGAGTGAGGAAACCAACTCACCGTCAGCAGTCCCAGTGACACGGTACCGACGAACTTGAGCGTAGAAACTCCCCGTGAAGCCATGATGACGGGGGACAATGTGCCTTGGTGTTTAGTGCATCTGGTGCGAGATGGTTGGAAGGGAAGACTGTGGTCTTCCCGTCGAAGGGTCAAAATCACCTCCGCCATCGACATGATTGGCTGACCTACGATAAGCGTGGAACTGTCGAGAACCAGACGTCATCCCGCCCTCCGCTGGCCCCGCTGCTGATGAGCTCCAGGATGGCCCGTGCAGCAGTGAAGTGACAGTGGCGGCCGTGCACCTCGGTCACTTCTCGTCAGCCTTGTTCTGCTCCACAACACCGCATTCCCCACAGGCATCTGAAGTATTCCGCTCGTTCCTGCTCTCGCGCAGGACTAACAGGCGAATCACAATTACACCGATGATGGCCGCAAGCACAAAGCCGAACGTTGCCGGGAATCCGTAGCCTGAACATCGGGTCAGCTCTGCCTCTCGTCCTGAGCTCGACTAAGCATTGCGAAATTAGGAGAACCCACGAAAGTCAGGCGCCATGGTCTGCGGGAAGATCACAATAGGGATCCAAGCATCAAAGGCATACTGCATGCCGTTCATGCTGCTGATGACCAGGGCGCGCTCTTCGTTGTCTCCAGCACACACTTCATTTGCCCACGTATAACTATTGGCGCCGTCAGCATATCCCCCAGGGTCTTCAAAATACGCTCTGAGCTTCCTCACAAGACTGCTGTCATCAGATGCACACTGCTAGTGAGAAATGCAAACTCCTTCAACGGAACACTGGAAGGCCACACGGCGAGGATTCCGTTCGGTATCAACCCGAGTAGCTGGTTAACGGTGTCAGCAGACAAATGCCAGAGGCAAGGTTGGTCGTACTCACCAATGGACCTAGTATCAAGGCAAATCTGCTACCTGTGTAGTCAGACAGGAATCCCCACAAGATGACACATGCCGCACTGATCAGCTTGGATCCAGTTGGTATCACATTGCGATCCACGACGGAGAAATGTTCCGACTTCAACCAGATCCCAAAGTACCCTCCAGCCTGGCAGGATAATCCGTACAGCTATTCCAGAAAATCAGTCTATATCGGTGCGCTTGTAGCGTCCAACAATGCTGACGGCACTTACAACGTAGCCGGGAACAAAGGCATACCATCTCCATTTAGACAGAACGCGCTTGAACGTCTGGAGATCTACACCTCTAGGAGCTGCCTTTCCGGCTTTTGTGACACGGGAAATCGCCAACTCACACTCCTGGGGGGTTAGAAACTTTGCTTTGGTCGTGTACGGTGTGTCCGGAAGAACAAAGTAAGTCGCAACCCCGACGGGAATGGTCATACACTGTTTGTCCGTGTCAGCAGGCTTCATCGTCAGAACCCGATAACGAAACTGAGGTGAAATCATACCCCGCAGATGATGTAGAGCCACCTCCATCCAGCAAGACCATGCCGCCCATTCAGACTTTCGTAGACAGCAGCTTGCAAATACCCACCAAAGGCAGACCCAAGTGGAGCCGTCACGTGAAAGATGGCGACCCGCTTAGCCAGCTCAGTCTTGGTGTACCAACTCCCCAGCACGTAAAGAAGGACCGGGAAGAAGGAGCTTTCGAAGAGGCCGACCAGGAACCTGAACGCATAGAGCTCGCCGACATTATGCATGCCTGCCTGCGCAAAAGTCCATACGCCCTGCATTTACACCGAGAGAGTCAGCATTACCGCACTCGCTCACTCAACAGCCGCAAGGCGTCGCCAGGCTCGTGAACAGCCCCGGGGAACAAGACACGAGAGCGCGGAAGCTTACCCATCCAACCTCCATAAAAACAAGCCACACGCTCGGCCGAATCTTCTGTACGATGAGTGTACTAGGAACCTGCATGACAGCGTAGGCACACGTATACGCCGTTTGGGCGTAAGTGTACTCATTGCCATACATGGCTAGATCTTCCTGCATACCCGAAACATAGGCATTTGCCAAGTTTCCCTGATCAAGGTACTTCATGAAGAAGCCAAGGCAGCCGATGGTGAGGATGGACCAGTCCAGCTTGCGCAGGAGCCTGCGCTCCTCGGACGTCTTGAGGTGCGTGTCGGTGTCCCAGATAAAGGAGCGAAACGACCGCGAGGGTGGCTTCTTCTCCTGCGGCTCAGTGTCGGCCATGGTCTTCCGTGCTAGGGGCTCGATATAAACAGAACGGCGACGAACCTGTTGAGATAAAGATTCTGCGGGCGCAGGACTTTCAGGAGGCCTTGTTCATTTCACACGGACAATCGCTCCGGGTGCAGCCTGAGCGTCCTCAGATATATATATATATATATATATATATATATATATGCAAGATCGGCACCGGCGTACTCCGTACGGTAATCCCCTCCGAGTCACATCAGCAGCCGCCGATGGCATCAGATATCCACGGCAGGAGATCATCGCGGGGTTGTGGTCCCGAACGAGACAAGCCGGCCCACGAGCCCGCATGCAACAGGCCCTCTTATCAGCCTCCCCATCCTCTCCGCGAGGCAAGCGGAAAGGTCGATGCAACATCGCTGCCGGCCCTTGGGCCAATCTACGCCAGCGCACAACTCCATTGGGGTGGTTCACGGTCGCGGGGTGACCAAGACGCAAAGCGGCGAGATAATGGCGAGCTCGCCCTAGTACAGTGCCGGAACGGTGTGTCGCCACGGCAGCTTGGCATGTGCCTCATTTCCCATGCATACTATGTGCATGGGAAGAAACTACCGGGGCTGCCAATAGAAGTATGACTGTAACGCGTGCCTAAGTTCTGAGTGTGTGATATCTGTAAGTTGCTGTTCTGGACTTACAGTAGCATTCCTCCTGGAAAAGAAGACTGAATTGCTGCGATCGCACCATCAGAAACCTCGTCGTATCAGACCTCGGCCCCCGAACAGTACTGAACCTTGTCTCGATATCTCGATGTGAGCCCTTCCTATTCACGCAGAGTAGACCCCAGAAGATCTCACGCCCGCTGTTCATATTTACAGTCTTCATCTTGCAATACAAGACCGCTTGTCCGATCAGCTTAAACGATCGACTTTGCGTGCAAAGACCGATTCCCACCGACGCAGGAAGTTGCTCCCTTGCCCTTGAAAGCATTCCCACGCCGGTCGACAGGTGAAGAAAATTGTGTGGTCTGGCTGTTCATCACCGGCAGAATCCCACAATTCGCTGCAATCGGTATTAGCGTCTGCTCCGTTCAGGTCCGTCACTACGCCACGGGGGTACAGAAGGTCGGGAGGAAATCGATGTTGGTGTACTCTGTTTCTGAAGAGCCATAAACCCGCAAACCGAAGGTCCAACCTCGGGAACTGAAGCAGATGGCTAAGAAAGTCTCGCCACTCTCTATTGGTCCCGGAATTCCGCGGATCAGCTTCGTATACCGCTTGGACAATGTTTGTTGCCAAGGAAGGCGGCCCAGAATCCAGGTGAAGCTCTTTCCGAACGAAGGGGTTTCCCTAAAATTCCTCGCATTACAAGGCCAAATAGCACTACGTGCATCGACGCCATCAATCCACGTAAGGTGGAAAGTGACTCCATTCCGGGCCGGCCTGATAAAGGCTCGAGACTTTCTCAGAGATTCGTGAAAGTCATCGCTGATCGATTCCAGCATGATTGCTCGAACGGCCATCGGGGAGACACCATAGTGATCAAGCCAAAGTTGCTTTTCGTCAGATAGCTGGCTGGCTGTGTGATGAGATGAGATTCGCCGTCCTTGCTGTCGTCCGTTTCCATTGTCAGATGCATGCTGTCAAACTGCTGATCCGTGGTTTTGAGTATCAGCCCACCGCGGATTTTGGATGGCCCTAATCGCTTTCCATTCTCCAGAAGACCGAGGCGGAGGCTTTTGATGAACGAAAAAGAAGTCAGGCTCTGAAGAGCGAGAGGACAACAAAACCTACGCCCCGTGCTGACGACCCTAAGCGCCATGCTCCGTGCTTGTCGCAAACACGA